TTGGAAGAAACCCTCAGCGATGGATCCCAAACTGTCGCAAACTTCAGAAACGACAAGTCTCGTGCACTTTCCTCCCAACGCAGGTTCGCAGGTCCAGGTCTTGTGGCTGCACACCAAGCCTTTGGCACAGCAAGACGCAGGCTGCCAGTCCCACGCTTTGTCATAGCAGTGGCACTTCTCCTCAATTTGGAGGTCATGTCTCAACAGCTTCACGTCACGTGGGGTCATCATGACTAGGTATCCTAGTGGAATGTGTTTGTGAAAGTACCTCGCCTCCCAAGTTTGGACACCTCAGACGGCAAACCCCGGTGACCATTCACACAAACGGAGGTGGGGCGTGCCAGGATCCACCAAGTCAAACGAAGTCTTTGAGTCCAAGAAATTCTGCTGTTCGTCTAGCGTTTAGGCTGTAGGGGTTCAGGGCTTTGGGTTCATACAAAAAAGGCTTCTCGAAGTGCACCATTTGTCTGAGGTAGCCAGTTTATGCACGACTCTGGGTATCTCACCTGAGGTGCTATCATATGTAACAATCCCATCTAGTGCTGCTAAGGTTTTCAAAACCTCACGATACCCGATGATATTACGTGGTCCCCTTGTAAAGTCCCTTTGTTTGTACCCCTGTGCCCCAACTAGTTAACTAACAAAGGGCTTCCTGGAGGCTGGTAAAGTAGAGGTGAAGCGGGAAGGATGTTAAAAGAGAAGATGACGCTTGAACTTATTATCTGGTTTGTTGTCAGGCAACACTTACCTTACCTGCAGGTCCAGGGTAATCCATTCCCCTAATATCAGCCCCCGTCCCCCCACCCCCCTAGAATACGGATTCCCCAGAATACCAAAGTCTGACATCTGCCCCAAGAGCACTCTCAGAAGGGCCAAAGACAACACTCAATTAGGGCTCGGATCCTCTGAATTAGGGGACTCTTGCGGACTAGGGATCTCCTTCATTTCCCAGATTTTGACTATCTCTGGATGTCCCTCATAAAGGAATGTATACAGAAGAGTTCCAAGAACAAACTCCCAAATCCGAATCCTGGCAATCCTAAAGGCTGAGCAAAAATTCAATTGTCTGCTTGTCTGCCTGAATTGTTCCTGTCTACTGGAATTCATGGTTTTATACCCCCCACATGTTCGGGTCCTAGGATAAATACACTCCCTAATAGAAAATACGAATTGGCGTCTATACTTTAGGGGGGGGTGGGGGTGCCTTTTGTATGAGGGGAGAGGATCGAGATCAACGCAAATGAAGCTGCAGCTGGCTGCAATTGTAGTGAAGTGTTATCACAGGCTTCCTAGAGCACTTCTTAGCGCATCATACTATGTTACTCCACACTTGGGTCCGTTAACGTCCTGGCAAAACAGCCCTGACCAGGTGATCCCGACAAAAGCGTCGAAGCGTCTCCGGCCCAGCAGAATTAAAAAAAGGGATCATGGAGTACTTCCAAAAGAGCTCTTCCCCGCAAAGTCGACAGCACCATTAGCATACTCTCATACCATGACACTTTGGAGCCAAGTAGCTCCTTTTTCAGGGGCCTTTGCAACAACCGTGGCGTTGTTGGATTCCTGAATGCGGGCTGCCTTGGCTTGTGGAGGACCATCGATTCAACAGAATTGAGTTAAGCATGATCTCCGGAGGTTAGGAAGGGCTCACCTAATACCAGTATTCTCCAATAAAGTCCGTGCTAGCTCAAGCACGGTGGTGTTCAATGTATCAGGGGTCCTGTCACTCCTGAAGCCAAACATTCCATGCGCCCAGAGGGTTTCCCATAGACCTATTCTGGAGCCCAAATATACACTTAGAGCTATATGAGCCATCATCTAAACTCCTAGTATCCCCCTTAAAAGCCCTATAATAGTCCCCTTTATAACCACCCTTTAAGGAGTTTAGACCCTAAACCCTAAACCCCAAACAGTAGTTTCCATTTTCTTTTCCATTATCCCAATATGTCCCCTATATAACCACCCTTTAAGGAGTTGACACTATAGCTCAGTATGGGTAAGCCAGGCTGCTGAAGTAGCCGAGGCCAGGAGGAGGCAAAAAAGGATGAAAGCCATCGCCTTTGTTGGGGCAAATAGGAAACCAAGGATGATGCAACATGGTTCAGAGTTTAGGGGTTTAGGGGTTTAGGGGTTTAGGGGTTTAGGGATTTAGGGGTTTAGGGGTTTAGGGGTTTAGGGGTTAAGGGGTTTGGGGTTAAGGGGTATAGGGGTTTAGGGGTTTAGGGTTTAGGGATCTAGGGTTCAGGGTAGGTGCCAAAGAAATTACCATAGTGTGGTCCCAAATTAATTCGCTGTGTGATTATGGTATGATATAGGTTACCTCAAATAAACGTCAAAAGATACGGCTATCTATTTGGTCCCCTACAATACTACGGTGTTATCATAAAGATGCTGAGCACCACGCTTAACCCCACATCCTCAAGCCTCTATTTCCTGTCCGGAAGCCCTAAATCCATGAAGGGCTAGGATACTTGCTGGGGGTTAGTAGGGAAAAAGGGAATATATCATATGGGGCTATCTGTGGATTATATTCCCTCTTTCCCTATTGAAATTTCCTATCAAGAACCAGTAAGAACAGGGTTTTGGGCGGGATTGTGCTGTACTTTGCAATGCATACCCTTGAACGCTCACCACTCTCATTAGATTTCCGTAGCCATCCTTGTCCGGAGGCCTTGTCTGGGTTGCCCTGTTAAGAAATCTAAATTAAGCTACGTTCAGATGGAGAAATAAAAAATATAATGGGTTTCCTTAGTAGCTTAACTTAAGTTCCTTGACAGCAACCCAGCCTTATGTCAAGTTCCTACATGAACTACAGTCAGTATTTCTCAGATAAATAATTCACATGGGCTCCTCATGGAAGACTGTATTAGGGAATCTACAAAACTACAAGAGGGACCCCTATGTCCACTGCTAAGGGTCCATCATAATAATGCTGATATTGACAGTATATCAGTAGCTCACATGAGAGTGCAGGGCCGCAGCCAGCCGTGGCTTCCAGCCAAGCTTACGCAAATGAGGGGCTAATGTCTCAATGGTAGCTTAGGCATTTATGGCGACGTACTGGAATACATCTCTGAGGCCTCCCCATTTTTTGGAAGCTATCCTGCTTAGAAGTAGAAAGAACAAATGCCAAGCCACCAAGTGTATAACTTGGGAATGGAGGACTTCGCAGGCGCGACGTTCGAGACTCTGCTCAGATGAGCAGTAGGAGTTGACAGCTTGAGCAACGAATCCGGCGGGGTTTAAGGTTTAGGGTCGTTTGCGCACTGGACCCCTGCTTCTGAAAGAGAAACACAAGGCATGCCCATTCGCCATGAGCACAACAAAGAACTGAAGCCCGAAACAATTATATATAACCCGTACACAACCCTATATGATATAGTAGTTTCCATTTTCCCTTCCATTATCCCCTTGTAACCCTATATTATCCCGATACCAATTACACACAAAGAATGTGTTACAGACTACGGGCTGGCCCGTTGCAAATGCGTGGAAGCGCCGCATACCGTAGCAGGATCTGAGACAGAGAGGCTGCTGCTTCACCCCCAGAAGAGCAAGACATGCTTGTAGAGTTTTTGGTGAGCGGTGTCACAAGGCACGGCCATCTACTGCCAAAAAAGCGTTTTCTTTAAAACTTAGATACACCCCAGCTTGAGGTGCTGGAGGGTGCCAATGTCTTTACATGCACGAAAGTTCAGATTCGATCCACTGTCATTAGCCCGAAGCCGAAAGAGCTTAGCTGTCGTAGTTCCCCAGCAGGGTCCTCCAAACTGATTGTTAAGTACCCCCTCCGCCCAGTTCCCTGCAAGAGCTCCACAAAAGGATACACGTTCACAAGCGTAAGGGTACTCCCTATATGACCTCTACGGAAGCAGGAAAGTTTGCGGAGATTCCCTTCGGCTGCTTGAGCTCTTTGAACATAGACGCAATTCAAGATCTAGTTTAGGGCCAATCAAGATTCCCGTGCTACTTGTCCTACAAACTACAAACCCAGACAGGGGCCTGACGACAAGAAAGCTACGATTGCAGTTTCCGCTTGCCTTGTAATAGGGGCCCACAATATATCCGCAGATTTTGAAGCTGAACCGCTTACCCTGCAGAAATAACAGGGATGGTGATACTGGGGGGAGGTGTCCCACCAGCAGTCCACTCATTGTTCTCGTTGGTGAATGCAGAAGGGCCTCTGGGCCATGTCCCCCCAAGTCCCAAATCACGTGCTCATTTCATTTACAGAAATGCGTTCTAGCCCGAGTTATACGTTTCAAGTCTGCGCATCGAGCCAGACAAGCCTGGCAACATCAAGACAACGGCCCTGAACCCTGTTCTTTTGTGTACGTACCCCTAGATAGTAGGTGCAGTGGTATTGGGAGTGTAGAGACAGTGTAGAGGACTGCAACAAGCAGGGACCTGCGGCGTGTGCTCTGGAAGCCTGCAAGCGCAGGGGCCGAAATGACTGTTTTAGGGTTTGGGGCTGGGGGCATATTGTTCCAGGGTCAGGGCTGCAACAATTCAATGTCTGAGATACCCCAGCTAAATGCAGGGAATGCTACAGTATGTTCACGCAGCCTCAATGAAGACAATCCGGTCTGGAGGTAAGTTTTTGGCATACTACACCATAATTCTGCATATGCTGAATTTTTCCAAACGGAGGATCTATTCAGGCTCCTTTGGCAACGTGAAGCCCGCAGGGCTTGCTTGAGGTTTTTCGAAGTTTGAGGCTTCAAGCTTTGAATGTCTGGTCTTCAGGTTTAGAGTTGTATCGACTTGTAAGCCCTATGAACCTAAAACCGAGAGCTTGCGGTTAGGAGCTTGGGCTGCGATCCTAGACCCCACAAGTTTAGCCGGAGCCCTAGCTAGCATGGAGGTGGAGTCTCTTCCAGTGGCCACAGACTCCGCTACAATGCTACAAGCAGTTGATTGACTTGAGAGAGCAAGGTGAGACCAGACGCGCGAGACTGACACTCTTTTTCTCCACAGGTTTCCCATGGCCTCGAATTCCGAATTCAGCCTGCCTCTTCCTCGGCCATATCGGCCACTAAGTCGCGCATGGCCGCTTCCAGCATCTTCACACTCCCAGGAACGTGGGTGGCCCCAAAGGGGCCGCTGAAGGGAGCATTCCGGGCCTTGCTCACACCTGGGTAACCACCAGCATAGTATTGAAAGAGATATGGGTTATAGATATAGGGATAATGGAGAATGGAAGCTACTGTTTTGTAAGCTACTATTCAGGGCTTAGGGTTCATGGTTTAGGGGTGTTAAAGAGATATTGCTGTGGTTTTGCCATCTTTTCATGTTGCCTACCCTTGCGTAAACAATCATGCTAGCAACCATTTCTGATTGCTGTGCTTGAGTTTGCGTTGCGGCCGAACCTACTACTCACCCAAATCCTCAATTCCAAACAGTGGCGCAGACACCCCCATCTTCCTCGCTGGTTGCCGAATCGTCAGACTCCTCCTCACTCTCGCTGCCCTCCTCTTCTTCACTGCTGACATCTTCCTGCGTGTTTCTGATGATCATCATGCGCCTGTTTGGGGTGTATCCTGCATTTCGGACTTGTTCTGGGCGAGCCCAAAATTTGACAGTATAACAACCTTTCATACTGCCCTAAACCCTCAACAAAATGGCCCTAAACTACCCTAAACCTTTTATAACCTGTATAGTATCCCTACATAACCCTTACATTACTCCTACATAACCCTCAGAATAAGAAAGGTTGACTCCTCTTCCGATGGGGTACACGTCGCATCAGCAGCGGCCTTACGGACGGCCAAGGCTGCTGCGATGCCAGCAGGTGAGAGTTGGATGCCTGGGCTGCTTTGACTACTTTAGGGTTTAGGGTTTCCGGCTTGGGATTTAGGGTTTGGGGTCTATAGGTCTAGGAGTTAGGGTCTAGGCTTTGGGCTTAGGTGTTGTGAGGGTTTGCGGTTTAGGGCTTAGGGTTGGCGTTTAGGGTTTCAGCTTCCCCTTTGTTGCTATTCATACTATGAATGCTTCATGGTTTCCACTACTAACCCGCTTCCCCCTTGTCAGGGTTGCCCCTCAATTAGGGTTCTTCAGGGTGAAGTTTGGCTAACTAAGGCTCATTAAGGGAAACCTTGAGGGGGGTAATACAGAGTATGGGGAATCATGGATATGTGGGAATTCTGGGGATTCTTATGGATGATCTCATGACACTACATTCCCATGATTTCCATGGTGCAAAATACTTAGGAGCATCCAGGACTATTACAATGACTCCTACTTGCCCTGACCACTACTGTTCCCGTGACCATTCCTTACCAGGACTGAATGGCTAAAACCACTATTATGAATATCCCCATAGTAGTCTCCCATATGATCCCCTATATTAAACCACTTTAAGGAGTTTAGACTATAGTTGTAATATGGAGCCAGAATCCTGCTGGCAGGTCTGAGGGATAGCCGTCAAAACCAGGCTGGAAAGGCTTTGGCTCCTTGCACAACCCTGGCCGTGAACGCGTTAGTGCAGAATTTCCCACTAGGCTTGTTCACATATGTACTACAATACGGTTCCTCCTCCTCCTACCACTGCTGCTGCTACTACTGCTACTCCGACTACTACTGATGCTACTACTACTATTACTATTCTTACTATTAGCAATATTACTACTACTACTACAACTACTACTACTGCTGCTGCTACTACTACTACCACTGCTACCACTATTGCCCCTACTGCCACTACTGCTGCTGCTGCTGCTGCTGCTACTAGTACTGCTACTGCTACTACTAC